GATTCTCTGATTCTCTGATTCTGTGATTTGTGATTCTGTGATTTGTGATTCTGTGACTCTGTGATTTGTGATTATGCAATTCTGTGACCTGTGATTTTATGATTTGTGACTCTGTGATTCTGTGATCTGTAATTTTGTGATTCTGTGACTCTGTGATTCTGGTCCTTGGCACTACCTGGTGACATTCCCCCACCAGGCTTTCACTGAAAGGTTCATTTCCACTTGCCAGGGGCAGGGGACAGAGCTGGTGGCGTGACAGAGCTCCTGCTCGCTGGGAGCTCCAGCAGATCCCTGTGACAGCGACAGGAGGGGACACGGGGGCTGTTCCCACATCCCATCCCCTCCTCTCCCTCAGCCCTGGTGCCCAGGGAGCTGCCCAGGGCAGGAGGCAGGGAGGGGATGGATCATTCTGCTGCCAGCTGTGCCCAGCACAAGCATGCCCAGCTTTCCCCAGCAGCTCTGCTCACACACCTGCAGCTCTGTGAGGGGCAGAAATGCAGGAGACTGAACCCCCAGGCTGCAGCCCCCTCCAGCAGGGCCCTGGGAGGGGGCAGGTGGGGCAGGGCAGAGCCCTTCCCTCGGAGTGAACCTCTCTGTGCAAAGCTCCTTCCCAGCCCCTCCATGGGCCACGCTGGGCATCTCTGGGGGCCACTCCCTGCCCACCTGCAGAACCCAAATTCGAGAGTTTCTGCCCCAGAAAAGCTCCTGCTCCCTCGGAGCCCGGCGTGCAGAGCTCTGTGTTCACAGCACCATCTGCTGCCGCCATCCGGGCAGCAGATTTTAAGGAATGAGCAGTTAATTTGGGAATTCTTGGCAGGATGGTGCACCTGCCTTCATGGTTATCCAGAGCTCTCCGTGCTTCCCACCCCATCCCTAAAGTACCAGCACCTTCCCTGAGCTCCTGAGCTGACCAAACCCGGCATGGCAGATGATCTGCCTCCAAATCTGTCTCCAAATCTGTCTGATTTAGGAAGCAGAATGCCCCCTGAGCTTGGGCCCTGCTTGTTGCAACATCTCCTTCCTCTGGAAACATTTAGTGCAAATAGAAAAGATGAAGAATTTTTATTTTGGATTGCCTGGAGACACAAACCCAGAGAGGAAACAAGACTTCAGTTTGGAGTTTTGCACCTTGTTCTGCAGTCAGCAGCAAACCCCTGTCAGATCCAGGGCACAGACGGTGTTGCTGTGCCTGGTGGCAGCTGTAGAACTGCACCAAACTCAGCTCCAAAAGAAAATTCCAAATGAGCGGGGATTCCAGGCACTTTCAGAGCTCTCTTTTTCCTGGCAGGAAGGTGATGTGAAACAGATGCACACTGCAATGCAGATCCCATTGTCCACAGCACAGCCCAAAGGTGTACCCCAGCCCCATATTCCCACCGTGGTGGAAATCTTCAAAATATGTCATTTCCAGACACTTCAGAGCAATTCTTCCACCACAAAAGGCTTTTGGTTTGGCTCTGATACACAAGACAAAAAAAAACTGCTGGACAGGTTTGGTTGGGGTGGCTCGTCCTGCCCAGCCTCAGAGGTTGTGTCTGAGGGAGGGCAGGGGCTGAGCTGCACGAGCAGCAGCAAGTTCTGCCCCTGGGTAGTGCTGGGGGTGCAAAAAGGGCCAGGTGGCAGATCACAGAATCCCAAAACAGTTTGGTTTTTAAGGAACCTTAAAGCTCATCCCATTCCTGCCATGGGCGGGGAGACCTTCCACTATCCCAAGTCCTTTCCAGCCTGGCCTTGGACACTCCCAGGGCTGGAAGGAGAACATCAGTGCCAGGATGAAGCAGCAGATACAGCCCAGCACACTCTGCCTGTCCCCTGGTGAGGGGTCCCCCAGCACCCTCAGCCACTGTGACCCAGCCTTGTGCCATCTGCTTGCTGAGGATCTGTGCTGAACTGCTCATCTGGTGTGTCAATGAGAGGAGCAGGAGTTTATAGCCCAGCTTTTAAACACTGCTAATTTAGCAAACATTTTGCTGGTGCCCAAGCATTAACCCAGGTGGAGATCAGCCAGCACTGTGCTGCAGCCCGTGGCGAGCAGTGGAAGGTGATTTGGCCAGGAGCAGTTTGTTCAGCCTTAAATGCTTTGTTCTGCTCCATCTGCTCCACCAACACTGAGCAATGGTCACAGGAACAGTCAGGAGTGCAGTTCAGCCCCTGTGAGCCTGTGCAGGCACTGGAGTGACCCAGAGCTCACATGGGGAGGGAGAGTAATCAGGGGAAGGAAGGTCAATGCTCTGGAGAAGATCCAAACACATCATCTCAACCCTCAGACAGCAGTAACTCCAAAATCATCTGTGTCTGCAGGGTATCCACACGCCTGGAGTGTCCAAGGCCAGGTTGGATGGGGATTGAAGCAAGACGGGACAGTGGAAGGTGTCCCTGCCCATGGCAGGGGTGGAACTGGATGAGTTTAATGCCTTTTCTAACCCAAACCAGTCTGGGATTGTGTAACAGATGTGAATTCTACAACAGCAGCAAGGGGTTGAACAGTTTAGCAGCCGTTTCTAATCCTTGGTAGGGTTTTGGGATGGGATTTTTCACCCTGGGTTGAAATGAAAATTGGCAGCTGTGTGATGGGGTGAACAGCTCAGTGTCACTGGAGCAAGCCAGGAGAATTAATTACAGCCAGGAGAATTAAGCCCAGGGCTCTAAGAGAGAAAATCCAAGCAAGCCTGAGTGGAGGCAAACAGAGGAGCTGCAAATGCCAGATGCCAGCCCAGCCACAAACTGCACCAGCTGCTCTGGACACAGCCAGGCAGCACCTGGCAAAGAGAAACAAAACCCCCCTTGATGCCTCAGGTTTGGCTTTTGTATTCTTCAGATCCTGTGCTGCTTCAGTGGGTGAGTCTGGGGTCCATATTATGGGATGCTGAGCTCTCTGCACAGAGCAGGGAGACAAAACAATTCCTTCTCCAGCTGGGGACCAAGGACAAGTGATCCAGATCTCAGCCCAAGAGCACAAACAACGTGGGCTGAAGAGAGAAAAACAAGAAGGATGGGACTGGATGGGCTAAAGCTGGAATGGGACAATGAACTCCAAGATGCCAATGGAGCAGAACTGATAAAAGTGAGAGACCTTGTGACCAATTGTGCATTTGTGGCCATTTTGGTTCATTTGGGTGCAGCCCTGGCTGGGCTCTTGCGCTGCCCAAGGTGGATCCACTGAGGAGATCCTTTTAATAAATCCCTGCTTTATTCTTTAGCTCTGTCTAGCTGTGTTCTAGCTCAGCCTCCAGAAGGCATCAACCTCCTCTCTGCTGCTCTGCAGCCCCAGGGAGGCTGAGCAGGGCACTCACACCACTCGTGGCCTGACTCCCAGGAGTCATGCAGTGTGAAGAAATCAAACAAAGGAGCTCCCAAAGAATCAGGAGGTTCCTGAGAATGTTTGAATAATGCATGACACACATAAATATGCACGTGATGTTATAAAGATAACACTGTTTGGGTGTACCTGTGAGTTCTTTGGCTCAGGAGCACCCCAGTGCTGGATTGTGGGAAATGGATTTGTAGAAAAATTTTTGAAACTTGTTTCTAGTTCCATTTGTCTCTCAATGTCTGTTTTATTCCATGGCATTTCTAAGTCAGCATTTCTTATCTCAGTGTTTGTATACAGATGCACACTACGTGAGCCTTCTGTCAGGTTTGGAGACTTTTCTACAAATCCATTCCCCACATTTCCCCCTCTCTCTTGAATGGAAAAAAAAAACCTTATTTGATGGTTTAGAAGACTAAAAACAGAATAAAAGTTTTTAAAACACCTCTCAATTGCCCCACCTCTGGGTCAGAAAAATACATAATCCAGCACTGGATTTTTGTCTCTTATCCCTTATTAAACTTTACATAACTTCTTTCTCCTTTACCCCATTTTTCAGAGGTGCAAACTCACTCCCCTTCCTTGGGGCAGGTCTGTGCTCAGCTGCAGGAGCTGCAATCATTCCTGGCTCCTGCCAAAACCAGCCAGACCAGTCCAGAGCTGCAGCTGTGTCCATTTCTCGGGGTTCTGATGGTCAGGGTGACCCCGAGATCGTAAAGAGTCTTTGAGATTGTCAGAGTCCTCGTTCCCTTAGCCCGCTGCAGCCAAAGGAGGAGCCTGGAATGCTCCGATTGCGCTTTCAAGGTTGTTTATTTCTCTTTATCTGTAACATTCTTTCTCTGACCTGCCGAGATCTGACTGGCAAGGAGGCCGTGCCATTCTGCCCCGAGCCTCGGGCAGCTCCCACCTTATAGACTCAAAACTACGTGTCTGTGTTTACAATTTATTATCTATTCCCATCATCTGTGTTAGACACTGAATCTCTACCTTAAACCAATAGAAAAGTGTCACCACCACAGCAAGACATGGAGGACACGAAGGAGGAGAAGGCCAGGACACACCCAAATGCCTCCACCTTGACCCCCTGAATTAGATTCTAAAAACCCCAAAATTCTACTTTTCCACCCTATATTAATTCAAATATCACACTACTCAAACCCTTGTGTCCTGTAATTCCTCATGAAGAATTGACAGCTGTTTCCACAGGCTAAAATCGAAGCCACAGCTGTTTTTGACTTCATGCCAGGGTCTGGAGACAGCCAGGGCAGCCAGAGGGATGTGCTGGACCCCGACACAGCCGGGCTGGGCAGAGCCCCAGACCTGCAAAGCTCAGTTCTACCTCTGCCTCTGAGCAGGGAAGTCAGGACACAGCTCCAGCAGCAACACCTACACCAAAAATGGGATTTACCAGTGGTGGGGAGCAGCTCAAGGCACACCCACCAAACTGCAGCTCCAGAATTGCAGCTGTGCAGCTTTTTCACTGCATGCAGAAGGTCCAGAGACCTCCCAACCCTTGTGTTTCATGCCCAGGGGTTGATAAAAGTGATAAATCACTTTTTGAGCCTCAGCTGGGCTCACCTGGGCTCCTGCAGCCCAAATTTCACCCTATTTCAACACTGCAGGTGTTGTCAGGACAGTCTTGTGCCAGGTGTGGATCCGTAGCTGATGATGTGCAAGAAAGAAACTCAAATTGAAAGAGTGATTTTTCTAATTTAATAGAAATAAGCAACCAAAATGGGTTCCAAACAATGCTTTAAACTGAGCGAATACAACTTCTATAGCACATTCCAGAGCACTTAACAAGAAATATTTACAGGCAGCTAAAGTATTAAATAACCAGAGAAAGAAAAATTTGATTTTAATTACACACCAGCAAAAAAAAACCCCACAGGAACAGAACAATTCAAAACAATAACTTTAAAAAAAAAAAAAAAGTTAAATAGGATGATTCAGATAACACAATACCACAGAAACAGCACTTGTTTTTTTGTTTGGTTTTTTTTTTTTTTTTTTGAAGAATCATATTAAAAGATGAGGCAAGTTTATTATGTGCAAAATGAGCCAGCTCCAGCACTGGAAGCAGGAAATAATTGAAGAATCAAAGATGCCATGATTTAACCCTTCCAGGAGAATGTTTACATGTAAAACAAGCTTTGCACTGCACAAATCTGTATAGAATTATTTACATGTGTCCTGGTGTTCTGAGCCTAAGGATCCTCCATTGCAGGTGAGCACGGGCGTGCCAGGGGAGCTCACTCCAGACTGAATCCTGCCAAAGTCCAGCTCACAAAATATCCCAGTACCTCTCTTTGTAGAAATCCCATAAATTCTAAAGACAGCAGCCTCGAGCTGTTATTTCAATCAACAGAAAAGGCCCAAGCTACATTTCATACATCTCATAGTCCACTTATAATAAAGATTCCCAAATTAACTGCAATTTTGGAAAGCTGTTTCAATCCGGATGCATCAGAAAGCACAGAAAAAAAGGATCCCCATAAGCCAAGTGGAAGTAGATGGAAGAGTTACTGCACACACACTTTGAGAAGACAAAATAAATCACCATACCCAAAGATACAATCCATACGTGCCATCTGTGTAAACTGTGGCATTTACATTTTTATTTTAAAAAAGTACCTCCATTATTTGCTCAAACAGCTACTTCTTAAAAAAATAAGGAACTTTCCCCAGTTTTTTAAAATAAAATGCCACACTCTATATTGTCAGGAACTGCTGCAGAGTTTGTTTTTAAAAGCTAGGCTTGTGATTTGCATACAAATTTCCCTATAAAATCGTTATCCTAAGGAAAGGATTCCTGTCATGCTGACAGGCAAATGACAAAGCAGTTTTATTGCTTTTTCCAAGGAAGAGAGTGGGAAAAGCCAGCTGGGAAAAGCCAATTCCCAGTGCACCACACACACAGATTCAAAATACTGCTGCAATAACCTAAACTTTTCCAGGTCAGTCAAAATCGGGTGATAAAACAGAATTTTGGGCTCATTTTAGGGACTTTTCCGGTAGCTTCAAAAGTTTGATCCAGCATAAAGAGTGTCACAGTCAAGTGTCACAGTGACATCCCACACAGAGGAACAACCTCTCCACACTTCACTGAGAATTTCTGTTTGCAGAAGTTGGGGAAATCCCCTTTTTTTGGATAGTAGCTCTGCCTTACTCTGCTCTAGGCCACTTAATTCCAGGGCACAGCTAAACAAAAGCCCTGAGCCCATTTAGCTGTTGAATTTCCTCTCATCACCAGGAATTCATGGCAGGACAGCTCACACTGAGCACTTTGCACTCATTTCAAATTGCCTTTTCCTTCTTTGGATTAACTTAAAACTTCAATGGCAACAATAATTCCCAGCCAAAATGGAGACACAATTTTTTGGGAGTATTTTAAATGAGAGCAGAGTTGCACCAAGTGCCAGATTCCTCCTGCCACCCCGTGGGATCACCATTTCACAGGATTTCCTGATGTGAACTCTGATTCCCCAGGTAAAGCCACTCACACATGGCACACCCAGCAGCTGGCACAGAGAAGATGCCCAGAGAATTAATGTGGCTCATTAATAGAAACCCTCTAATGAGTTACAGTGAGGCACCAAAAATAGTTTCCACTGAGCAAACCCTTCCCAGTTCTGTGATGAACACCCAGACTACAGGATCAGGGAAGGTTTATCCACCCTTTCAAATAATTTCAAACAGAACTTTGCTGCTTTCAAAACAATCACTGAAGTGCTGCTTTGGGAGTTCAAAAATGAAGGGGAAGAAGAGTAAGAGAATGTTTTGTTTCCTTGTATCAAAGAAACACTTGAGATTTCTTGCAGACATTCAAAATTCCACATAATCCTACTGAGCACTGGGGGATGGATGGGAGGAGCAGCTCTGGAGGGTCACTGGGCTCTGAGCAAGGGAAGAACTTGGGCTCAGCAAAGTCCAGCTCAGCTGCACTCCTGGTGTGCAGAGGATGCTGAGCATGAGCTGGCCAAGTTCTCCACCTGGAGTGAAGTGTTGGAGAGGCCACCTCAAAGGAAAGGCTGTCCCAGACCTCTGGGGACTGCTCTGGGGTCTGGGTGGGGAGCAGAGGGTCCTGGTCCTGCAGCAGCTGGGGAGCACGAGCCTCCCTGGAGGGTTTGGGGTGAGTCCTTCCCACTGTGCTACACCTGGGATCACATGAGATCCATCTTGGATCCTCCTGAGCTCTGCTGGGATCCCCCAAGCTCCATCTGGCATCCCCTGGTCCATCTGGGATCCTCTGAGATGCATCTGGGATGCCCTGAGATCCACCCCAGGATCCCCTGTCCTATGCTGGGATCCCCTGAGCTCTGCTGGCATCTTGGACTCCATCTGTGATCGCCTGAGATTCATCTGGGACCCCCCTGAGCTGCATCTGAGATTCTCCTGTCCTATGCTGGGATCCCCTGGGCTATGCTGGGATTCCCTGGGTCCCATTTGGGATTCCCTGGGCCCCATTTGGGATCCCCTGAGCTCCACCTGGCATCCCCCGTGCCCATCCCGTGCTCTGGCTCATCCCCAGGGTCTCTGCAGGATCCAATCCCCAGCTGCTGCCCAGGGAAGAGCTCAAAAGGTGAGGCCTGAAGGTACCAGAAGTGCCACAAAAAACAGGAGGCCCGAGTGAAGAGAGCTCACAGGATCTTATTTTCATGATAATTTTAATAATATTCCTTTTGCAAAATGAAGCCAAGAAACTAGAAATGCATAAATAGGCAATACACAGAGCCATGAAATGATCCCATGTCACTACCAGTGTCCTATTCACACATCAGCTTTTCCACAGGCAAAGTTGTTGCTCTTTGTCAATTTAATATGTTGAAGTGGAATTCCTTTTCCTTTCACATACAAACTGGTAAAAAATAAACTTAAAACAGCACTTTTAATGTCTAAGAAATTTAAAAAAACAACCAGTTTGAGTTTGAAGTGTAATGTTTGAGTAAAGAAGTGAGCTGGAAATTAAAAACATCCTCAGTCCCCTCACTTATTGCAAGAGGGAGAATCCCAAGGTACACAGACCTGGTTCTTATAAAAGAAACCAAATCTGCAGTGATTTGCATAAAAACTGCTGAGAGCATTTCTCAATTTGATATTGTGCTAAAATATTTCTCTTTACCATGATGGTAAAGCAATGTCACAGGAATGGCTGTGCTGAGCACACCAAACCCCCAGGGATCTCCCACAGAACTGCTGGATCCACACAAAGGATGGCAAATTCAGAGTCTGCCATCTCGAGCTCATTGGTTACATGAATTCTTCAACTTCCTTTAACAAGATCAATGTGAAGGCCAGAAAATGTATTTATTTCTAGTACTGAGTCGTGTCAGTAAAGAAAACAACTCCTGGAGCTGTAGCTCCTTGTGATTCCATGATTTCTAACCAGGAATGCTGGGATGGAGGCAGTGCAAGGGAAGGCACTGCAGAGGTGCCCCAGGGGCTGCTGAGGGAATGGGGAAATTGTTCTGTTCTCACTCTTGGACCAGAAACCACTCAAGGCCAAAAACCCTGTGCAAGTGCTTTGTTCAATGGATGGACAGGCAACCCAAACTCAGACTGATTCCAATCTTCCTGCATATTTCCCTCACAAGCTGCTTCTGAAGAAAGTTCTGAGAAGTACTCTAAGAAAAATAAGACAGAACCTCAAAATGAATGCAATGTTAGAAATAGCATATATTACAAATCTTTTCTTGATAGGAACAATCAATAAGAATACATATTAGCTTAAAAACAGTTCAGCAAATGTTGCTGACCTGCAAGAAATCTCAATTCACTATTTACAAATAAGACAAAGTGAATACAGGAAATTTTACACATTTGGTAGTTAATAGGTTATTGTTTGCCGAGTGGTCTATTAGAAACTGATATTTAGGAAGACTGGAAAAACACCCCAACCAGTTATTACCACTTCAGTCTATATTTTAAGTACAGAAAAGTAGAGAATGAATACTGGAGAGAACATTCTGCCTCGTCAGGGGGTCAGGGACAGATGACAACGCTGAGACTTCTGCCATGGATGCCATTAAAATGTTCTGGGTACAGGAGTTTAATAAATACACCTTGTCCTACTGAAAGAGATTGGAGCCACCAGCTTAGCCTTTCATCTGCCTCACATTCCTGCATTCGCCCATTCAGAACAGTTTAATGATTTTTCTTTCTTCTTCCTTTTGCTCTACATAAAATGGAGTAAAGAAAGCAAAATGTCAACAGTTGGATAGACACAGAAGATCACTTATTCACAGTCCTGCTTCAATGGGATGATCAAAGCAACGACCAACACACACTTGAGTGGACACAGAGGGGATTTCAAGAGCTCTGCTCACAGTTTACACTGCAGTGTAATGCAGGACACAGTCACTGAGTGGGTCCAGTCCTGCAGGTCGTGTCACTACAGTCTTATCTGTACATGGAACATCTCCTATCAAATCTGCTTCTCTTCAACATTCCTCCACCTCTGTCTGTGAGACCAGGATGAGCGTGTCCCCTCCATCAGGAAAAGAAAGAATATAGCAAGTAATCAAGGAAAAAAAAAATACAAACCACCAAAAATTTACAATACAGGTTTTTTCCCCTTTTGATGCGAATGTTTTTTCTGTACAAGTGTTTTTGTTATCTAATACTGTTTAAAAAGCTATCAGCTTCTGCAAGATGGCCACTGTAGGCATGATAATATTCCAGGAACACTTAAATAACAGTTTTTACAATAAATTTTAGGTCCATATCATTAGATTACTTTATATGCACTGGTCTCTCATCTGATTTTAGGCGTTTTCTACGTGGTTGTATAAAATCTTCATCGGAGTCCTCAGTTATTTCACCATCATCCTCTTCCTGCTCAAATTCAGGCAAAGGCTGGAAGGTCCTGTCTGAGTAGATCTCTGTAAGTTTATCTTCAAAGTACAATGCAACTGCCTTCCCTGCCTGTGCTACTTCTGAATCAGCCTGTGGATGAAAGAAGACAGGAATATTCACCTGTTGGAAATGCACATCCCTTCACCAAGTGTGCATGGTCTGAAACGCTTACCTTCAAATTAATCTCTTGTGTTTCTGCATAAACTTGAACAACTTTCATCATCTAAAAAGGATACCAGAGTCAAAAAAAATGAAATTATAATCCTTTCTAAAGTTACGAGATTGCACAGGATTGGATGACTAAAGTCAGCCATAACAACAACACAGTTTGTTATGGTTTGTTAGCTTTAGTTCCCAAACTTAGGCAGCAGGTTTAAAACAGTCTTAGGTGGTAAATAAACCTTCAACAGAACACACAACTTTTGTACAAGTGGCTCCCAGCCATTTTCTACTCATCACTGCTTTCCTCACAGTAAACTGGAGTTGCCTGGACAGGACTGTGGGAAAGTCTCCTTTGGAGGGAAGAGCTCCAGGAGATTTCCTGGGGATTACCCCACTGGATTTCTGCTTTGGAAATCTGCTTTGGCTTAGAGGCACTCGACATGGTGCTGCTGTGAGAGGTCAGAGTGACTCAACTTTTGCCATGAGCCAGGCAAGCTGAAACACTTTTTTTTTTTTTTTTCTTTTTAAAAAAAAGTAAGGAAAAAAAATCAGCACATCTCTCAGTCCTTCCTCCCTTGTTGTACTCTGGTCTCTGAGAGCTGCAGCATGTTTTCCTCTAGAGTGGATGCTTCATTAACTCCCCTGATTGAGAAGTTCACATAATTAAATTACCTCATGAACCTCCCCTAATGCAGGGACACAAAGGAGTCAGAGTTGTCAGAGTCCCAAAACTGGGACTCTTGGACTGCTTGTGAGCAGTTCCAGCATCACATCATTGACTCGGATTTTTCCCAGGGAGGTTTTAATTGCAGCTTTGTCAAGTTCCTTCAGTTTCCTTCTGCATGGGGCCAGAAATGCAGCCCAAACACTGCAAGTCCAGGTTACATTTTGAAGAGAAATAAGAAATATTGGCTGCTTTCTGCATTTTAAGGTTAGAAGAAAGCCATTCCCTGTGATGCCTTTTGTCATCCTTGCTTTAAAGCATCTCAAAGATTATGAACCCCCTTAGCTCCTACTCAGTTTCAGCAGAGTATCACCTTTTTTTTTTTTTTTAATATTCAGATTATTTTTTCCATTGCTCCACTAGCAGTAACATTCAGGTCATTTATCTCCCCAAGTCACATTTCAGGTGTAAGGGATATTTCATTATCAGATGGGATCATTGCAAAATGAATAAGAAACATGACTCCATACCCACGTTATCCACTGAAAACTGATTATTCAGAGAGCCCAACCACCAAGGAGTTCAAGCAGGAAGGTTAATAAGAGCCACAATGGCCACAAAGCTTTCTTGGATTCATTTATGTGAGGTACTAAAACCAGAATAACTTCAGAAAGGCAGATTTCTCCTCAGTAGAGGAAGTTTCTCCATGGATTCCACCATGTTCTATGAGTGTAAAACAATTAGCTGGGCAGCTTGGGACACTTTCAAGGACTCTGGTTGTTTTTATTGCACTTCCTTAAGCACTTCTACAATCAATCTGATGCACAGTAACCAGGTCACCCTGCTCCTCACTCACAGACAGCAATGAATGCATTTTAGAGGTTCCCCCTGCTCTCCCAATTGAACTAAAAATGAGAAGTTATTCTGCAATTGCCTTGAGTTTTGTTTGGTTTTTAAGTGTCTGATTCAGCATCTGCCCCAAAAGCAGAAGTTACAGCTGGAAGCAGAGCTTTTCATGGGAGAAGCTGCACAACCAGGTGGAAATAAATCTTCATTTAAAAGGACAAATGGTGCTCAGATTGGAAGTTAACATACTTCATTAAACCTTTCACAGTTCTTGAAGATCAACCGGACATCAGCCACGAAGTCCTCGGGGGTCTGGTAGTGTTGGGAATGCTTCTTCTGCAGTTTCTTCTTCACCGTGGATAAATCCATTGGTTTCTTTATGATTTTATAGTAGTTTGGTATCTGTAAAAATCCAACAGTGATTTATCACTGAATGGCTACAGAGTTCACAGCTGAATTTCTGCACTGAAGGTGTCAATCCCTTATCTCATCTCATTTTAGGTTTGTTCAGCAAAGCAGAACAATTTCCTTTCCTCAAACTGTTTAAAAAGTTCTTTATAAGAGCATGGAGTGACAGGACAAGGGGGATTGGTTTGAAATCAAAGGGGGGTAGATTTAGATTGGATATTGGGGAGAAATTGTTCCCTGTGAGGGTGGGCAGGCCCTGGCACAGAGTGCCCAGAGCTGCCCCTGGATCCCTGGAAGTGTCCCAGGCCAGGCTGGATGGGGCTTGGAGCAACCTGGGACAGTGGAAGGTGTCCCTGCCATGGCAGGGGTGGGACTGGATGGGCTTTAAGGTCCTTTCCAACCCAAACCACTCTGGGATTCTGGGATTCTTCCTAATCTTCAGTGTCTCTCATAGCACAGCAAAGCTTTTCATTACAGTTACTTCTTTTACAGCTGAAAACACAAGAGTCAGAGCAGTTTATTCCCTCCTCTCATTCAAAAGTTTGTCCAAAAAGCAACAAAAAGCTCTCCTAAAGCATTTTGAGTTTCATGGGTAGCCTGAGACATCTTGTTCCAATTCAATAACTACTAATTGGAAGTATTTTTAAATATCTGGTTTTGAGACTGGGAGTGAAACATCAGCCTGGAGCAGCTCCAGAATCAGCTGCTCTCCCTCTCAGACCCATGAAGTGCTGGATGACTGCCCAGAACTCTTAGACTGATCCTGGTGAAAGCAGTCAGTTCCTTCCCAAATCCAGCTCCAGACTCTCAGGGCTGTTCCACCAAACAGAAATCCCCAGCTGTTTTCCAGGAGACTCACCGAGGCTGGGACTGGCTCTTGGAACTCAATGCTCAGCTCGTGGCAGTACAGGTAAAGCAGGAGGCGTTCACATTTCTTGTAAAGAAACAAATAGAGTCAGATTAATAGTCTTAATTTATCCCTAGCCCAGAAATTCATACTTCCCTACTTTAAACAGGCTTGTACTTTAACAGCTTAGTACTAGAAAATTTAAATGTAACCCCCTCAACTTCATTAAAAAAGGTAAAGTTCTTAGGAGAGGCAAAATCCCATTTACTGTTCACAAATTTCCTCTTTGTTTTCTCCCTCCTAACCAAAAGCCTAGGGCTGAAGTCAAGCATGGAGAGACATGCTAATATACTGCAAATTTAAAAATAAAATGCCAACTACAACCACTTTTACTGCTTTTGTGTAATCACAACCACATGTAACAGGAAAGGACTGAGCTGCAGACTCTTCTCTTTGGAAAGCAGAGCCAGAGTGTTTCTATAAACTCCTTGTTGAAATCTTTTTCCTTGCTTTGCTTGTAATTCCTTTAGAGGAATTTGATTTGATTTGATAATACTCTTAACACTACACAGAGGCTGATTGATAAAGCTAAAAATAATTCTGATTGTCAAGGTAATTAAAATTCCCAAGAATGCACCTGGATCCCAGCACCTCTCACAGAATGCACTTAACACACCAAATTTACAAAAATATTTTATGAAGGTGACACCTTCATTATACAGGACTTTTAATCAAGTGCATGTAAAATGATGCACTTAAATGCAGAATTTGTGTTTGTGCTGAATTTTAGCTCCTCAGTGATTACAGTCCCAAGGCACTGGGGCACTCCCACAGTCACCAACAGCTGGAGATGTGGCCACAGCGGGAAAAATCTCATTAATCATTTTGGGTTGTTTTGCAAAGCCATAACTACATTTAATTTGCTCCAGCCAAAGCAAAACTATCTCCAGTCAGTGGAGGGCAAGTGGTGTGAGAAAGCAGATTTCTGGGAAGCAGATTCCTGCAGGTTTGGCACTCACCCTTTGGTCCACGGGACTCAGGCCTTGTGCTGTCTTGCCCTTCTTGCTGTGCTGGGAATTGTCACAATCATATTCCACTTCAGGTTTGCTCAGATCTCTGCAGAATGTACATATCCACTCTCCACTAAAGAGAAAAACACAGTTATTCCAGACATCCAGGGATAAATTCTGATCAGGGATGACTACAAATAGTTTTTACTCACTCTTACAGATTCACATTCTACTGCAGTAAAGACCTGGACACCCAAAGCTAAGGAATTACCTTAATGCTCACAATAATTCTGCCAGTCAGGGCTATTTTTCCTGCCCTCATATGATGCTTTAATGCTTTATAAAGTATAAACTTTATACTTTACAGAGTAGACCCTTCTCACCTTGAGAAGAGTACACCCTTCTCACCTTGCCTTAAAATGAACTTTACACAACAGAACCACATTGTGAGATTTTACAGAAACAGAGAAACAGAACGTGATTCTGTTATAAAGACTGATCAGCTACACACCCAACAACTCAGGCAAGGCCTTAGAAATGTCATATTTCTGTAGTAGAAGAAACCACCCAGAACAAGCTGATTTTGGAGGAAGCACCACTTTGGGTTCTGCGCTCAATCTCAGCCCACACCGCAGCGCTGCAGCCGGTACCTGGGGAAGCTGAGGAGCGTGGGGACGTGGCAGGTGAGGTGGAACACCTTGGGGCACTTCTCACAGCACAGCAGATCCCCCCCATTCTGGCACACAGCACACCAGTCCTCGTTGGGGTCGTCATCCTTGTTGTTGCCCTCTCCTGCTGCTCGGGCCGAGCGGTGCATGAGGCTCCGCACGGGCGACTTCCCGTTCACCAGGCTGTGCCCAGACTGCTTGCAGCTCTCGCTCAGATCTGCTGGCTCTGACTTCACGTGGTTTTCCAGGCTCCCAAAAGCTTCCAGTTCACTCTCCAGGTGTAAGTTAGTGGACAGTGGTGGTGTCAAGCTGCTCTCGGGGCTGCTGAGCTGGAATGAAAGCAGCACGTGGAAAATCAGAGTGGATTTTGCTGCTGCATCTTTCTGCCTGTGGTGGTGGAATTCAAAAGCCTCCCACCATTCAAAAGTACCATGATCATATCCCAAAAACCATGGGAAATCATGAGGAAGAGCTGAGTTGCACACAGTATTGAAAACTGCTTTTTCACATGTCCTTTCTCTGAAGGACACTCTCATTTCTTCTGATATACAACAAGAGAAATGTTACAACAAGCCAAACACACTAAGTCATTAAAAGCTGTTAATGACAACTTCACTGTCATTAGGAGAAATCCCCAACTCCACCACCCTGCTCCCTGTACACAACCTTGTTCAATCAAGCATAGCTAGAAAATAGTGAAAAATATTCATTTGCTAATTATTTGATTTATACTTTGGTCTAAAAACTTCTGACTGGAGGTTTTCTGAATGCAATTACCCATTTGGGAATGTCCACTATCAATGGGTGACTCAGAGCTTTTATTAATTAAGGATTACAAGCAGCAAATACACTCTTTTACACTTAATTTCAATCATTAAAGATAAAATTTACATTACAGCCCACTCTGTGCCTGACAGAGCATTACCAGGGAGAAAATACCTCTCAGAATGAAGTTTTAGAGTAAAAATGCTTTCCCCCCCCACCACCTCCCCTTCCAAATTCTTAAGCATGCTGCCAGGAAAACACTGAGCATAAACTAACTTTACCATGCAAGCACTCCTTCTGCCATCCTCTGTTTTTTCCTGCTTTACTGTTCCTGAGAAACTGCAGATCTCTTCCTCTGTGCCTGGCTCTTGCTTTACTTTCACTTGGTCAGCCTTGAAGCCAATGCCAGTTTTGTCAGCAGTCCTGCCCGAGGAGCCACAGCTGCAAAGACATCAGCACAAGGTAAAGAAGAGGATAAATCAACAGGGCAAAGAAATCCAGGTAACTGTTTCCCAAAAAAAGGCAAAGGGTCAGCACATTGTAAATGTTGCAAATCAGCACATTTACAACAGCTCCAGTTTACAAGACACGGGAGAATCATAGTGCAGGGGGGAAAATTAAAAATATAAATCTTCATGTAAGCATTCTTCCATTCCTTGGTCACAGTTATGACAAAGCACAATTTGCCAATTCCTTTTTTGAAATTATTCATGTCTGATTTTTTTAACCTGCCAGTGTCAATGTGATACTCACCTTCCTCTGCTGCCTGTGCTGGAGGTGCTGGGGGGCCTCACAGGAGTGTGGGAGTTGGATAAACCTGCAGAGAAGCAGCACAGAAGGTGATTTGGTACAAGTTTACATTCACTGACAAGTGCTGAGAAACCCCAGAAATGCTGCAGGAATATCCCAAATTACTAAATCACCTAAGCCAGCTGTTCTCTCAATTTTTGATCACAACAAATCTAGCACATCACATTAAATAAAAAGTGACAACACACACTTCTTAAGAGTCCTAATAATCATTTCACCTAATCCAAGCAGTGCTAAAGCCTTCAGACCATTACATCCTCAAATTTTATGCACTGGGAGCCAATAAAGTCATAAAAGCAGCCTCTGCATGGTTTGCATGCAGCTTTGGAGAAACACAGGAAGCCCCACTGCTGCAGCCATTCATTTACAGGATCTTGCAAGTCTTGTAGAGAAAAGCAAGAGAAACATCAAGTCCCAGAATGGTTTGGGTTAGAAGAGACCTTAAAGCCCATCCAGTCCCACCCCCTGCCACAAGCAGGGGAACTTTCCACTGTCCCAGGCTGCTCCAAGCCCTGTCCAGCCTGGGTTGGACACTTCCAGGATCCAGAGGCAGCCCCAGCTGCTCTGGGCACCCTGTGCCAGGGCCTCAGCACCCTCACAAGGAAGGATTTTTTCCTATTGACTGAAATAATCTTCTTACTTACAAAAATAGACATTTTCAATGTTTAAATAACTGAGTGTTAGGTACTGGTGACTTAATTTGTTCACATGCATAAGAAAAGCTCTACCATTAATTAGTTATACTCAGAATGACTCTAATGGTGTCTCTATATAGGTATAAATATACACACACATATATAAATATACGTATCTGGAATACTGCATCCGTGTGCTGGAAGTTTGTTACTATAAAGACATCTCTAAAGGAGGGTAAAATTTAGATTTCTGGAAGAATCTATTTCTGAGCAAAACAAATTTTAAATAAAACATTGTTTGCCTTCTGGCAGGAAATGCTAGGCAATTTTTTTCAACTTAAATACCAGAAAATACCCATCACTTTTTGGAAGCTCTAGAAAAACCCATCAGATTTACCTGATGACCCTGGAGACAGAGCTGAAGGTCCTGGGGAGGGATTCATGGTGCTTGTAGGCTGTGGGGGGAGGTGGCTGCCTGTGATGTACCTACTTAGCAGATTATCTAAACTACTGGAACCAGCATCTTCCAGCTGAGGAGGAAAAACAAAAATCTGAATCAGAGAGGTCTCATTCACACCTTTAAACTGTGATCACTATCTTTACTGGAATTGTTCCCTCTCCCTTCAAGGATTCAGGACATCAGCAAATATTTTTATCAGTTTCATGGAGAATCAGGCTTTCAAATCAGAAACTTCAAGTGACGTTTTTCAAAAGCTCCTAAATTTGAGATTTTTTTCCAAGATGATCCTGGGCTGCACTTACACAAGGTCACTGCAAACTTTCTGGCTGCCAGCTGCTCAGTGTGTCAGCCACACTCATGATGTTGTGTTAGTCACGAAATACCAGATTTCTGAGGCTGCAGAAGTTATTCCATAATTAAGATATTAAGGGAGGCCATAATCTTGTCTTTCCTTAACACGATAGGAAACCTCCCACTCACTTTTCAAACAGATTTTACTACTTGTTAAACCCAAGGAAACAGGGACCCTGTCACTGTAACTGCTTAAATGTGTTAAATGTGTAAAATGCAATAATGTGTTTGAAACACACTGCATTCTAAGGGGGTTCTAATAACTGTACCAGCAGCTTGAAGGACTAATACTTCTATCCACTAAATCCAGCTAAAATCCATAACAGCTATTACATGAACAGGTACAAAAAGAAGAGTATCGCAGCAGAATTCTGCATTTTCAGTGCACCTGGAAATTGCATGGTAATGCTTTGTTCAAAGTCTCAGGACTGCAGACTGCTCACACTGAGATGGGATTCCTCCTTCCCCACCATTCTCACAATAAAAATGACCTGCAGCCTCCTGACAACACTGAACACACCAGCCCTGAACATTTAAGAGTTGCAAAGTTGCAGCTGGTGTTCCAGCAGACCATCTCGGATGAAATTTATTTTGTTTCCTGTATGGTGACCAAATCTCCTGGGTTTTACATGGGCATTTCAATGCAAAGGTCCTGTTCTCAGGATGAAGCCATCCTCCTCCCCTCCCAAACACTCCTGCAGAAAACACATTCCTTCTACTTTCTTTGCCTCCATGTGTACATTCCATTGTGCTTTTCACCTCTCCAAATGAGCTTCAAAATCTACCTGAGTTTGTGTCCCCCCTCTCTGTGGGACAATGGGACATGTCCTCTCTGTGCTTCCTTTTTAGGAACATCGAAGAGAAACTCCAGGCAGCTTTAACCCTGAATAAATCACCATTCAGGGCACTCAAAATACATCACCATTAATTATTATACTGATATCTTCCACAGGATGGTCATGTGGAAGAAAGGAAGTGAACACAGTACTTGGGATTAATTAAAGTGTTAATTTTACTACAAAGCACATTAAATATTGACGAATCTAAAGGTTACCAGGTGGAGCAGGTCCTTCTACGGTTTGTAAGGTTTCTAAGGCTATAGACAACATATTTCTTGGCATTGGCTTCTGCTTCCTCATAGGTGGCAACCTTCTGGGGCAGGTCAGAAAGGGAAACCCAAACATCCTATAGGGTGACACCCCAGGTCTGAGCAGGGCTGGGCTCTAATTTTTAACAAGGCTAGAGGGAGCCATCTGATCCACGACATCTGGGTTTCAATCACCAGCTTAACTAGAGTTCTTTGAAGAGTTTGATTCATCCTCCCCACACCACCAGAACTCTGTGGATGCCATGGAGTGTGTAATTCCCATTTTACTCCCAGGGCTTGAACAGCTTTTTGAAATATTTTAGAGGTGAAATGAGTTTTAACTCTACAACTTAAATGCTAATTACACCACTCCATGGCCAAGTCCTGGTACCTAACTACAAAAGCAGAGCAGCTGAGGGGAGCAGCACTGCAGGACTAGAGGACACATTAAATATTGATTAATCTAAAGGTTACCAGGTGGAGCGGGTCAGCCCTACACAGATAAACCACCTGCACACCTAAGAGATGGGCTGAAGATTTTAATTCCACAATTTTAAATGCCAATTACTGTAGGAATATAAAAAGGTAAAAGACTCTAGAAAGTGCAAAAAGGCCTCAGAAAGTAGACATAAAGCTGAGAAAGGCTGGGAAATTTCAAAACCTTCTCATGGGAAGCTAAGAAGAACAGAACCAAATGAATACATTTATATTTATCATAAGGAACAAGAAAGAACAAGAAGTTATTGATAGTTCAAGATGTGAAAAGTCCTAGATATATGCTTTGAAAATACAAAAAAACTTTCAATCTTAAATAATGAATTATTGTGTATTGTTTGAGGTTCACAGAAGTCCTTTTGTTAATGTTAAACCCACATGGGTCCTTCTCTTATTGGTTAGAGTATAATGACTTTGCACCTTTTATTTTATGCTATTGGTTCAAAGAATATGTAGAAAAAGGCTTTGCAGAAGTTGCCATCCTGTCTTTGATCTGAATTTGCATGGATGTTGTTGTTTCCCTGTGTCTCTTGCTTTTTGCTCGTATGACACAGACAGAAAATAAATCCTAAAAAAGTCTGCAAGCAGTCAGGGTCCCACCCCGATTGTGAGACACGGACCAACCTGGCAATTACACCATTCCCTGGCCAAGTCCTGGTACCCAACCACAGAAGCACAGAGAAGGGAGCAGCACTGCAGGACTAGAGGACACATTAAATATTGATTAATCTAAAATTTACCAGGTGGAGCAGGCCAGCCCTAAGCCACCTTCACACCTAACAGAGGGGCTGAAGATTTTAATTCTATCACTTTAAACGCCAATTACACCATTCCCTGGCCAAGTCTTGGTACCCAACCACAGAAGCACAGAGAAGGGAGCAGCACTGCAGGACTAGAGGACACATTAAATATTGATTAATCTAAAGGTTACCAGGTGGAGCAGGTCAGCCCTACATGGATAAACCACCTGCACACCTAAGAGAAGGGCTGAAGATTTTAATTCTACAACTTTAAACGCCAATAACACCATTCCCTGGCCAAGTCCTGGTACCCAACCACAAAAGCAGAGCAGGGAGCAGCACTGACCTGGATGGGGGGGATGTCTGGCAGGGAGGGCAGGTTCTCCGGGTTGGTGACGGACGGGATGAGCTCGATGGCCGACACGGACGGGCTGGTGGGGCCACGGTTGGCGCTGGCCATGGTGGCCGTGGTGGGGCTGGTGGGGTTGATGGTGGTGTTGTGCACGGAGACCACCGGGAAGGGCCCGGCGTGGCCGGGGTTGGAGTGCTGAGGAGACACAGACACGGCGCTGGGTCCCGGGGCCACCGCGGCGCCCGCCGCAGCGCTGCCCTGCCAGAGACCCCAACCCAACACAGCCAGCACAGCACCTGCCAGCACTGAGGGCAGGGCAACTGCCACTCTTCTTCACTTGGAAAGGAAAAAATACTTCACGTGGCTCCATTTTAAACACACAGCACTTCTCCCGCCAAGTTATTTCATATATAGTGGTGTTTTCTTAAAGCAACTACATCCTCCAAAGATAGCTTTAGATTGTACATGTCTAATTTTTTTTTTAACTTTTTCAAGTAATAAAAAGTCACTTTTGATATTTCAGTTACATTAACATGCATTGTCAACGATTTTTATTCTTAATGGCATGCAGAGCTCTGCATCAATGATTCAGGTGTGAATTTAAAAACACTTCAGCAGCTGATTTAATCAAAACCCCTCAACTACATCACTTTGAACTTCACTACTCCTCACTATTCTCTAATAAACCTCTGATTGTTCTTTTCAGCTGAATGTTACTGAAAAGTGCAAAAGGAAACGTTTTGCTTCCCAGAACTAAACTGCAACACAAACATTTCATTTCCACCCCTAAGGTTTAAATTTCCTTACATTCAGCAAAACTGTCACAGCACAGTAACGCAACATGGAAAAGAAGCATATAAATGCGTGTAGCCGTGAGCTACAGGGGGACAGATAAACACATTTACAGCTGGAGGTACCATCTACTGGAATGAAAGGCTGGCACAATGGCACAAATGAAGCGTGTACACAGGATATACTTGTCTTTGAAGGTGAGGTTGCATCATGGAGTATTGAGGTCCATTGTGGCGTGGGATTCCTGGTATACGAGCAGCATTCTGAGCCATTCTCATCTGATGTGCTTGGAAAGCCCCACAGTTCATGTTACCCCTCTGCATGGTCTGCATGCTGATCAACCTGGGAGGCTGCAAGGGTTTGGGTTTTTTAAAATTTGTGCTTTTAACACAGAGAAAAGAAGCCCATCTCTTTCCACAGTAGTAGCAACATAACATTAAGCAAAGCCAAGAGCTGTCACATTAAAGTATCTCAAATCTCAGAAGATTTTAGTTTATAAATTGCTTTGTAAGTTTAGATCTGACAGGGCAATTTTAAAGCTCAGTGTTATGGTGAAATAAAGTGAAAGAAGGTGAAATAAGAACACATAAAGGACTCACCTGCTGCTGCAGGACTTGGGGGCTGCTCTGCCTGGGCACGGATGCAGAGGATGGCTGGGCCATCCTCATCTGCTGCAGCTGCTGGTGTTTTTGGGCATACACTTGCTGCTGCATGTGCTGCAGTCGCAGCTGGGCCAGATTGATTTGTCCTGGAGCTTTGCTGACGTGGTTTGTTCCTGGAGGAGTCTGCCCAACCACTACATTGGGAGTATAACTAGGGGCTGGTTTATTTTCAATGACCAGGTTACCTATAAAAACCCAAAGAAGCAATCAACAGTTAGATCTCATCATCCTCCAAAGCTTGACATATGTGGAATATTCAGATGTTTCTAATGCAGGTTCCTCGGAGCAATTTAAGCTTGAAAGGTTAAAATTTAAGTTCTTTATGCCTTCAATAACCAAATATGATAAAAGTAAAAAGATAACTCAGACTACAAGAACTAAGTGCAAAATTAAAAATATGTGTGAGGAAAAAGGTAAAGAACTGGAACTGCACAGCCTAAAAGCCACAAAAGACAGAAATTACTTCTCTGAGTTCACAAGAAACGGACAAAATGAGATATAAAACAGAAAACAAATATGTTGAGCATAAATTTTCTATGTCTAAAGTAGCAAAGCCTGGGAAGAGATATTTGAGTGTCCCACCACTGAGTGACTTCAAACAGGTTCTACAAACACAACACAAAACACTGTTACAAGCAAGTCCTGTCTTGCTCCAATGTCATGGACCATGTTGCCTCTCCAGATAACTCCTTTCCTATTTTTATATGTAAAGGCAAAATGGTGATTTTTGACTGTGAATGTGCACTCAGTGGAACCTGCATGGTTGGAAGTTTCCTTTCTGCTTCCTGTCTCCCCCAGAGAATAAATACTCTTGACTGAAGAGAAGAACACCCCAACCTGGATGGTGGACTCAGAGCAAGGAGTACACACAAAAGCTGCTATTTTTATCAGATTTTCTACTAGATTTTTATCTAACAGAGAAGTTCACATGCAGGTGCTAACAGGTATCTCTGTCTCACTGTGCTCTGCCCTCTTCTCTCATTCCAAACCTGTACTTTGCAAACTCGAAGTGATTATATTTAATATACTGGAAATGGTACAGGTGCAGTGTCCAATCCAGAGAAGCTTTGAATGCCACAGCCCTGGAAGTGTCCAAGGCCAGGTTGGACAGGGCTTGGAGCAACCTGGGACAGTGGAAGGTGTCCCTGCCATGGCAGGGGAGATGAGATGACTTTTAAGGCCCTTTTCAACCCAAACCACTCTGTGATTCTGTGATTAGGGCCATTCCTCGAACCAGTCCCAATACAATATCCATTGTATCCTGGAAAACAGTATCCATTTAGAGAAAGCTCTGCTAACAGAAAGAACGGAGCAGATAAGGAGGATAATCAGGGCTGGATGGGTTATGAGAGTTTATGGTCAAGAGAGTTTTTGTCTCCTGCATTAAGAGATGTATTGCACTGCACTCACTCCTGCTGGATGAACACCCCCAATTGAACAGAGTTTTCCCAGCATCACAGATGAAACAGAGTTTTCTCACCCAAATTGACAACGTTCTTAGCCCAGAAGGTGGGGTCACAGTGGAAGCGGATGGCCCCGTTGGCAGCAGGGACGGGATCGCAGCGTGCCTTCAGGATGTGCCTCAGCTGGAACGTTATCTGAGAGAAACAAAAACACTCTGCTGCTGACAGAGAAATAAAGACAGAGAGACAAGTGTGTGTCTACCCCGAGAGTTTAGGCCATGGAACACCAACAAGGACTGGCAGCAGCAAGTTTGGTTCATAGCCTGGGGAATTCTCCATTAGTCAGGAAAATCCCACATTGTGCAACTTTACTCAGAGGATTGCAGAGGAGCACTGTTACACCATGACATTACTGCAGTGACTCCAGTGAAACACTGAGGTGCCCTCACAGAGCTGACCCCATTCCTTCTACCCTAACACTCCCTAAACCCTTATGGTAAGAGTGAATTGTTGCACAATTGCTTGGCTCTGTTAGAAGAACTGAACTTGAAGGTACGGTCCATGATGGACCCACATGGCAAAACTGGGTGTATCCTTTGGATTACCAACATTTCACCTCATTTGTGTCTTAATCTTACTCTTGCTTCCCCTGTTCCTCTGTGTTTGTGGCTCAGGACATGTTCCCAGACTGGCAAAGTTGGTGGCAGAGTGATGGTCTACAGCAGCAGTGTTGAGCACACCCCTGGGCCTACAGGTGATCAGCCTGCATGTGGAGAACTGGGGGTATTCATGTCAGTAAAAGTGAATTACCCTTGTGGTTACCAACATTGACTTTGTGTCTTATCTCCCTCCAGGTATATTGGAACTTTTGCCCTCTCTGGACGCAGGAATTGGGACAGAATTGCACAGCCAGGTCTGTGCAGCCACATGAGGAGTGGCTGAGGGCACTTTGTTCTGCTGGAGAAGAGGAGCCTGAGGAATTCCTGGCCTGGAATTCCTGTCACAGAATGTTTTGTGATATTTCCTGATCTCTCAGTTTAATTATTGCCTATGTGACTGTCTCTTCAAGTGCATAACATTTCTATGCTCCACGTGGTGCTGTGTTTTGGGAGCCTCACTGGGGGCTGCAGCTTCTTCCTCAGGAGCAGCAGAGGGACTCTGTGAGCTGGGACAGGACCTGAGAGAAGGGCTGGAGCTGTGCCAGGGGAGTTGGGGTCGGATATCAGGGCAAAGCTCTTCCCCCAGAGGGCTCTGGGCAGTGCCCAGGCTGCCGAAATTCCAGGAGCGTTTGGCCAGCAGGGCCAGGGATGCCCAGGCTGGGATTTTGGGGTGTCTGGCAGGGCCAGGAGCTGCACTGGATGATCCCTGTGGGTGAGTCCCTTGCAGCTCAGGACTGCCCCAGCCCCAGGTGCCCCTCACCAGGCGCTTGCTGTAGAGCAGGGCAGTGCTGCTGCCGCTGGCGATGGCCCAATTAGTGAAGTTCATCACGTGCTTCACTTGTCGTGACAGACCAGTGATGTCGTTCTGCTGCTGGATCAGCTTCATCTGTCTCTCCTTTGTCACGTTCTGCAAAGAAACAGAGACTTTGTCACAATAAAGTAATTTGTAAATTGCAAAGTGATTTATTACAATGGGGCTTTCAGATGTAGGAGGAAAACGTAAACTGCTGGCAGGTTTTGGATTAAAAGGGAAACGTCCCAAGGAAACTTTAATAAATGCTAGGTAAACAAGAAAAGCCAAAATTCATGTAATTTTGCATTGTTTCTTTTACTAATGATCAAGTTACTCCATTCTTCCAGGAATATTTGATTTCCTTGCCAAATAATTGTTCCTTAACCACAAAAAAATCTATTGTGATTCATCTGATTACAAATTTTTCATGGCAGGCTGGCCATATGCACTGAACCAACTTATTACAAGGGATTTCCTCTATTCAGATAAAATTTTCATGGGTTTTAATGGAAGTCACAATGCAATTATTCAGAACATGCCATCTGGAAAGAATGTTTGAACTCATGGTATCTAAAGTTGTATAATACAACTTTAAATACAGCATTATACCTTCATGTACAAATACAAGAGACTGTTCTGACTGTTCTTACATGACCATTAAAAAGCTTTTTGAGGAAATTATTAAATGATACACACCTTAGCATTATGTTATAATACAGAAATATAGCAAAGAGAACATGAAAAGGAGATTTTCAGCCACTCCTTTACAATGAGCCCAATTTTGAGTATGAGGCACAGACACAAAACTGAAGGAGCCACAGGCTCTGACGAGAGGAGAAAAAAGAGATTTAACTCCAGCACATCCCTCAGAGGCAGTTTCAGTACTGCAACACCTGCAGTCACACCAAATAAACCATTTTCAAATGTTTCTCCTCAACAGGGGACTGGAAACTCAACACCACCATGGCTTTTTATTTCAAGTGTACCTCAAGGTGTTGTAGGAGAGATTTTCCCTTTTTATTGATTTCATTGATGAGGGTGAATATAGCCACTTTGATTTCCTGCTCTACTCGTTTGTTGGTTTCATGTACTTCTTTTATCCTAAAAAACAATTTAAAAAAGCAATGGATTGTCAGTCACTTTACACTTCACTGCCAAACACAAATTTACAACTTGTTTTACTTCAAATAATATGAAAGTACTTGTAGTTTACACACTTTATAAAGAGAAATTTAGAGAAATAACCAGCCACAACCACATGTGTCTATGGACATTTATTAATTTATATCCAAATTGTGTCACTCACTATGAAAAATTTGTATCTGATGTTTTAAACTTTTAAGATAATTTATATCAACCAGAAAAGAAATCAACCCTGAATTTCAAATTAATTCCTCCCTTGTCACAAAGAAGTTATTACAGATCTGTAATTAATACTAATGATGTGCCTGATATTAGTTTAGATTATTTTCTTGTGCTTTAATACTACTGGCTGTCAGATTTTTATATCCTCTTCATCACAGCCATTTTTCCTCAGTTTTAGTGCATATCCAACTTCTTCAGATTCAAGCAAATCATCTTGAGCTCTGGTCACAGAATTTAAAAAATAGCATTTCTTAAACTCATGGAAATTCTGGATTTATTTGATCCTACACTGCCTTAATCAAACTAGATCACATTGCAGCAGAATTCTTTGCCATGAGCCAATGTGAAGGCTTGAATTGTCCTTTTTTGAAGAGTTTTTTTGCTGCCAGATCAAGGATGTGATGTCACTCAGCCACAGGACCAACACTCACTGCTGATGATGAGCACTGCTGGGGTCAAAGCCCTTTAAGGCACCTGGGGCACACGTGGTTTTTCATGACAGCACAACCTGGTCTCCTGCTCCAAAAAACACCCAACCAACCCTTCATTAAGTCCATGGCATCCACCCTTGGCTTTGGCACCCAACAATTATTCCAGCAGAGCTGTTCTTCAACACTTCACTGCTCCACCATCACAGATGATGCTGATTTTGTACCATCTGCCAACACTGACAACAAAATTGCAATACCTTTATTTTTCCTACTCCATGAAGTTTTTAGGTTGATGGATTTTGTGTCCTACACACCAGCAAAGCAGTGGAATGAATTGTCATTTTTGGCTCAGCAGAAAATTGAGAGACTGACACAACTCAATCCCAGCTGCAGAAATTCACTGAAGCCAGAAACTCTTGGGCAAAAAAACCCACCATTATAATGTGTTAATTCTATCACACATTCCTGGCCTGGAATTCTTGTGAGAGAATGTTTTGTGACATTTCTTGAGCTTTCAGTTTCATTACTGCCTATATGACTGTCTCTTCAAGTGTGTAACATTTCCATGCTTCACAATGGTGCTGTTTTTTGGGACCTTTCAAAGACTTCCATGGAAAATCAGCACATAACAAAACACCAATTTTCATTGCTTCCCTCTTCACACATTTGCCTCTGTCATGTTGTACGTTCTTCCTCCCTTACAGTGCTTTTTTTTTTTTAAATATAGATGGCATCACAAGGAGTTAAAAATTTGCATCAGAACTTCTCTTTCTCTCTGCGGTGCACATCCTCCTCCTGCCCTCGTACTTTCCACCCCCAGCTGATGTGTCATTTTGCAAATGACCTAAAAGCTGCAGAAGGCTCACAAAACCACTGAGAACCAGGGTGGAATTCCCTGAGCTGCAGCACGACCACGTCACCCCAGGGCAGCAGAGCCAGCAGAGACCACGTGCTCCCTCTGCCTCTACATTTGCTATTTAACGTGACGTTGAATTTCAGACAACCCTGGAAATCTTAAGTGAAGCTACTTAAAAAAAAAAATCTAAACCCCAGAGCCAACCACAATTTCCTATTCAAATTTACACTTAGTTTTTGTTACACAGTTGTCAGAGGCCTTACTATGAAACATAAAAATATTTTGATATTTCAACCATTCTGTTGCCCAGAGCTAACTTAGAAGAAATTATAGAATGGGTTTTCTTGCCTTTTTTATTCCTTTTTTCTCACCCACCCCAAAAGTGTAATGAATGTGGCACACCTTTGGTTCTATTCAAAGCTGTCACAAAAGATATAATCTTTAACATTTATTTCTTGTAAGAACTCCCAAGAGATGCAGTCTTGTAAGGGAAAATAAACACTATGAGAAGTAATTAAGACACAGAATTAACTCCAATGTGTTATTCTAGTGCCACCACTCATCTTACTGTGACTCACTAAAAAGCCAATGTAATAACTGATCATTTTGGAGAACTCACCTATTTTGAACTTGGGCAGCTGCAAAATTTACATAATTCTTCTTCTCAAGAAGTTTGGCCAACAGGTTCTCAATTGCACCCTTCTGGTTCTGAAAAGCTTCTTCCAGGAACTGGTACCTTTTCAACAGGCAAGAGAAGACACTGATTACCAAGGGGCAGTGGGCTGGAACTCAGGGCTCCCAGTTCAGCTGCAAAGCCATGACATTTTGAAAAAATATGACAGAGGAAAAAAAAAAAAACACTGATAAAAAACACTGACAAAGAAAACACTGAGAAAAAATCAGACTCTGAGTACTCTGACCAGTGTACAAAATGTGTAAGTGCTGATAAAGTCCTGATACTGGCCAGGAGACTGAACCTCTGTGGGAAATTATCAATTCAACCCCACAGGGATGCACTGCCTTGTTTCCCAGGACAGCAGGCTATGGGACAGGAACCTCAGAGTTTGATGAGGAAAATGCACCAACAGCTTAAACACACATTAAAGGATACCAAAAAACAACCCCTAAACTACCCCAAATTCCCCTGTTTTTCACCTGAGATGCTGCTGCTCATGTTTGACTGCATTACTTTAATTTGAAGAAAATTTCCCTATTAAAAAACTTCAAGTTTTTTTCACCTCTGCTGCTTCCAAGTGAAGACTATTCCCTTCCAAGCTCTTCAATTAAACAGCTGCTATCAAAGGTACTTTCCATTACTTCATCTGAAAATAGGGTAAGTACCAACACTAAGGGAAAATAACAAGATTAGGGGCCTTTTCCTAAAATACTGGAATAAAGAATGCCACAGAAACACTATGGCTTTGCTGAAAATGCCAAGGGAAATTAAAGCAGCGCCATGAATTCCCATGTTTTCTGATCAACTGCTCAAAATCCAGAATTCCTAACAGTCACTGGCTAAGTCTTGTCTTGGCAATAAATAAACTTCACGCTTCTGAAATGTAATTTGTTAACAACGGGGAAAACTTAAGGTCCCAGAACACCTTGGCAATGTTTTCCCAATATTCAATTTGGCAGAACATTGCTGCAATTAATGAAGCGTTTCTGTAAGGTGCATTAGAAACAACTTGCACCATCTTCCAAAGAAAATTAAGAAGAAATTACTGTTGTTTTCTGTCACAATGTAGAACATTACAATCCAACAGGAAAAGACTTGTCTGGATTGTCATCAAACAGCAAGATATTTTTTTTTAATTTATATGACTCACAACCATGATAACAGGGACTCAGACAAAGAACATCATTGACAACAAAAACAACTCCACTCCTGTTAATTCAATTTGTACCAGCAACACACAAATCTGAACTCCAAGAGTTCAGATTCTTCAATCTCAGTGTTGGAATTTTCCTTTTCTAAGAACAGCCTAAAGTTCTTGCAGACAGACAGCAGCACAGGATTTTAGATACTATAATACAAAAAAAAATAGTATTCCTAAAGCCCAGAGATAGCAAAATTTGAAATGCTTGGGACCTGCTGAATTTCTGAAATTATTTTCATTAAATTTGGAATTGTATTTCCACTTGAAGGAGAAATGAAAGTTCTACATTCAGTACTGCTAAAATTTTGCTGTAGCTCTTGCTACAGCCAAAATATTTTTCTTTTTTCAGTATTGCACTTCCAGCTTCCCAAGTGTGTGGACTGGAAACTACCCAAATTAGAGGAATCTCACAGCATCAAGCTGCTAAAAGAATTGTCAGCTTTCTACAGAATCCCCAGCAACCCCTGCCCCTGACAGGGGTGGAACTGAAGCATCTTTAGGGTCCCTTCCAACCCCAAACCGTTCTGGAATTCTATGATTAAAACTCTGAACACTGGACCATAGAGGTACTGAAATGGAATTCACCTTCCTTTGGGGTAAACTATTAGGATTTCAGGTAAGAAGAAAACAGGGGATTAAAATAAATTCTTTTTCCACTTGGGTTGATTCTCCACAAAATCTCAGCTGTACTTCAAGCAGGCAAAGCAGTGCCTTAATCATCTGTAATTCACACCTGCACACAGAACCATATGGAAAGAATATTCTGCAAAAAAAAGTACATTAATAGCAATGAATTCTCCTTCTGGAAGAGCACAGGTAAGTGGGACAAGATCCATCTGTTAATCCATTAGCAACATGCACTCAACAAATGCAAAGAAACCAACCAGACCAAATTAGTGAATATATCCCAGGAGAGCACCCTTTGTGACAAGGGAGTCATCCAGGGTATTTAAGCCTATGGAAGAACAGAGCTGGAATATTTGAGGGTGTTAATATTTAACAATAATAATTATTTCAAATGTAAAAGTTCTCCACATGCTGCTGTAGCAGTCTGAGAATAATCACTACTCTGAGAAAAACAGAATAGTTATTCTAAAAAAAAAAAAAAAAAAGAAAAAAGAAAAAACAGAACACTAAATTCAGTATTATGTCTTTACAGAGAAGAGTTAAGGAAAAGCAGTGGTTGATAAATATGTATTATCCCCAGATTCTCTATTATAACACTGAATGTTTGTTCAGACATTCAAACAACTACACAACAGAGCTGCCAAAGAGCAGGAAGTTGGAATGTGTCTTAAAGGGGTTCCAACTCTTTTTCTAGCAGAGGCAAACTCAGCATTTCACCTGGAATGAGGCAACTTTTAACCAACTAAACCCAAGGCATTTTTCCCCTCTGCACAAGAAGAATATACTAATGTAAGAGGCAAAATTTAGACTTTCCTTTACAAAATTCCCCTAAAGACTTGCACAATCAAAAATGCCCTTTCAGAAAATTACATCACCCATGACTCACTCTATCACTTTTGCTTCTTTTACAGCACCAGGTGTTCAGGGCTGCAGGAATTTCCATTCAAGTCCTGACCACAGTGATAGCACTGGGAACTGCCAGGCAAATTAACACCTGAATCACACCAAACCTCCTCAGCCCATCTTGGTTCAAATCTGATCTTAAGAGACTTTGACAAAGCTCAACCAACTGACCAAGCTTCCATCACTCCACACAGGTTCTCCTTTGCAAGGGATGGGTTCAGTCCATCAGTTCAGGAGTAAATGCAGCAGAATTTGCAACACAAGCAGCTCACATCAATGCCACTTCATCCTCTGAGACAGCACAGCACAGCACAGGAGATAAGAGATGGGAATATCTGTACCTGTGTTCTTTGTGCTCCAGTAACTGACAGTCTCTGCATGTCAGCCTGTCACAGGTTTCACAGAAAAGCTTTAACTGCTCTTGTTTGTGGACAGGGCAGAAAACAGGACGTTGACCAGATGCTCCCACGGCCTCTGTTTTTAAAAATAAACCATTTTTGCATTTTAAAATAAAACTTAGACAATCTGAAGAGCAAAACAACTAACTTCCAGTAACAATCAAGATCTTTCAAAGGCACCTCCAGAGGTGCTCTCACGCTGAAGTTACTGTGAGTGCATCAGGTCAGGGGTTGAACTTGATGATCTCAGAGCTCTTTCCCAACCTTTATGACTGATTTACAGCTGTGGTTAACAGCTGTTTTCACAATATTCATTCAAGGACAAGGAGAAATTCATCTTCTCATGAGCACCCAAAAGGCCCTGTAAGACTGCACACAAACACCAGCACGCTGCACATGTGCTTATAAAGATTTAATTCCATATAATTTCAGCTCTGACACACTGAAGGATGGGTCAAACCTTTCCAACCTTTTTAACCTTCTTTTAAAATCCTTTTTAACCCATGGGTTTTCCAGCTTATCTCTTCAAACACCTCATTTAGTCAAACACAACTGAAATGGGAACTGCAAAGCAAACGTTGCCTGTGTTAAGAGTTAAACCCCCAAATAACAAATAATGGCCAAAAATAGTTCTGGGTTTACTAAAAAAGTGCTGCACGGTGCTCTGAAGATATTTTGAGCTTAGCAAAAAGGAAAGCAGCCCTTGGGAGGTACAGCAGGTAGGGTTTAAATTAATTTTCCTCACTCTCCAACATTTCTGAAGCTGGTTCTATCATGCAAGTTGTTGTACAGAAAGAGCTGATGAACCTGCAGCTGCCACTCACTGAGAGAAATTTAAAGTCTCCAGGGCACATCTTTGAGTATAATTAGGGAAAAAAAAAAAAAAAATGACACAATGATCAGTCCTTCTCCACAATCACAACAAATAAAATTTCTGAAAAAAAGTATATTTTATAAACTGTATAAAATATTTTATATTTTAAATATAAAATATTTGATATTTTTAAATATCAAAAATATTTAGTTTAAATACAGAAATATTTAGGTAGTTTAACTAACTAGTTATTTTAATAACCTAGTTAGTTTAATAATTGTTTATTTTATAAACTTTATAAACTTTCTGATTTTGGAACAGTCACTTCCCAGCAGATATCAAAGAGAAAGTTGAGCTGTAATATCACAGTGAGAGCCACAATTTAGCATTCCTTGTAAAAACACCAGTAATTCTTTCTTGGGCCCTATAATTTGATTGAATTTAAGGGTTTCTCATCTATGAGGCTTAATATATTTAATCTTAAATTGATAATATTTCTTATTTAAAATATTCATTAAGACATAAAGAGAAGCCTCTCCAAAATGAGGTTTATTTTATAGAGCAAATTAAATAAGATCATGGTCTGAAAGAACTAAGCTCAACAGCAAACTTTTTAACTCTCAAACAATTTTTAGAAAGAGAAGTAGCGTTTGTTGCTTTGAAAGGATACAAGACAATTATGGAGATCTTAATTAATTTCAAATTAATTTAAATGAAGAAAGCAAAGTGTCGCAATCTCTCTTCCTCAATATTTTCAGACACATCCAGATTGTGGAGAATCTACAAGTCTGTAAATCAGAACTTTTAATCCATTTACAAATAGAATTTTCTAATCTAAAATCCGGATACTCTGGATACACTTTCCACATTACCTCAACAGGCTGTAAATTATTAAATCCAGATAGCCTGGACCTGTTCTGAGATGATTTTCCACATTACCTCAATAGGCTACTAATTATATATGATCAAACAACAGTTTAAGAATTTACTTATGGCTGCACACCTGAACAAACCCTACACACACTTCACATATAAAATTTTGCTCACTGAGAGATTAAATCTAAAATAGATTCAAATTCTACATTTACTCAGCAATATCAATACAAAACAACACCATATATTGAAGGTAACTATAAACTTATATATACATTTCTACAGGGAGAATTATAATTGCTTCTCATAACAAAATACAGCAGAATGTGTAATTTAATTTCCTTGGACAATGGATAAGATTAACAATATATCACTGCTCTCCAGATTCCAACCCCTCCATTTAGTTACTTATTCTACTAAACAAAAAAATTATTAAGAATGGTTCTAAATCCTTTCCAAAGGGATTGCACATCAAACTGCACAAAGTATCACTGTTATAAATTTAGTTATTCCTTTATTTTTACAGCTAATTTTGCACTGATAACTTTGGACTGAACTTTTCCCAAATCCTGGGGGGAAAACACACAGAGCTGGTTGTTACCTCCACCATCCTCCCATCTCTTTCAACACCTAAAGAGAAAAGGCTCTTGGAACAGGCAGCACAAAGTGATATCCAACACTCACCTGAGGACACATCCTCTTTTTTCCTGATCATGTGGTCCTTAGTAAACTTTACTCGCTGGTGAGCCTCGATGCAGGTCTTGCACAGCCACTCCCCACACTCCACACAGAAACCCACGGCGCTGGCGTTGTCCTCACAGCTGGTACACACCTGTGGTGAACAGAAACCAGAAATGTCTTGGGGAGCCCCACAGAGCAGAAAGGGCTGGGGGAAAAGGTACCAGAATTGTTTTAGCGAGAGCTGACAGACCCAGAGGGCAGAGGAGGGGTGGGGAAAAAGCACCAGAATTGTCCTGGGGAGCACTGATGTCTCAGATATCAGAGCAGAGTTGGGGAAAAAGCACCAGATTCATCCTGACAGGACCAGAGAGCAGAAAGGACTGGGGAAAAGGCACCAGAATTGTCCTGGGGAGCACTGGAAGGCCCAGAGAGCAGAGGAGGGGTGGGGAAAAGTCACCAGAATCATCCTGGGGAGCACTGACAGGACTGGAGAGCAGAAAGGGTTCAGGGGAAAAGGCACCAGAATTGTTCTGGGGAGCCCTGCAGGACCAGAGAGCAGAGGACAGTTGGGGAGAAAGCACCAGAATCATCCTGACAAGACCAGAGAGCAGAAAGGATTGGTGGAAAGGCACCTGAATTGTTCTAGGGAGAGCTGACGGTGCCAGAGAGCAGAAAGGGGTGGGGAAAAGCCCCAGAATCATCCTGGGGAGCACTGACAGGACCAGAGAGCAGAAAGGGTTGGGAAGAAAGGCAGAGGAGGGGTGGGGAAAAGCCACCAGAATTGTTCTGGGGAGCACTGACAGGACCAGAGAGCAGAAAGCGGTGGGGGAAAGGCAGCAGCAGCATCCCAAGGAGAGCTGGCAGCCCCGGGAGCGGAGGCTGGCCAGGCAGGATGCTCCCTACCTGCTCGGACTTCTCGTCGGAGCTGCTGGGGCTCTCCGAGGTGTCCTTCACGAAGTAATTGTCCACCAGGTCGATCTGCCGGCACTCCTGGCGGCAGATGGGGCACCGGATCACCCCCACTGCAAAACACAGCACCCCACAGGCTTTTAGGGCAGCAACACCCACAGGGCAACGTGCCCAGAAGGGCCAAACATAAAGCACACGCCTCCTCTCACCTGGGGAAAGGATTCCACAGCTGACACTGTCATTAAAAACCAGCCATTACAGCTGTAGAACAGGTTTCACCCCAAAATACAGTCCCTCAACTAATCCCCAAAAAAACCCACAGACATCTACAGAAAAGGATCCCCCACCTAGCTGGGGATTTCCCTAATTTCTACATCATCCTCAGTTTTTCCTACTTATTTCTTCCCCAAAAATCCTATATTTTTAGCAAAGTAATTTGTTGTCCCAAAGCAAATATTAATTTTTTTCCCCTGTTGATTTTCAATTACAAAACTCAAGAAACTTGTTTTTTTAGATTATTTTTTAGAACAGTCTACAGTCCAGCCTTTCTCAAGACAAGCATTAAGAGGACTGTGCCCAGAGAGCCAGAGTGACTTCAGGGATGTTCCTGAAAATGCCACAGTGTGTCTCAGGGTTCTCCCAGGTAGCCCAGGAAGATTTCTAATATAACTTATTTCCACGAGGTCAGGGAGGCAGATGAAGCAATAAAACACCAGCATCCTGCTTCGTTATTCTTTGTAATCACTAAATTAGTTTTAAATCCTCAGCAGAGCTGCAAAGGAGCTACTACATGAACCAAAGTGACATTTAAAGATGTCTATGAACAGCCCCCGTAAAGGTTTGAAAACTTATTTATAACTCAGGTAGTGGCTCACACTTCACAGAAGTGTCACTGGATCTTAAATCAAATTCCTATACAATTTATTGAGAATATAATCTTCAAGAAGCTTTCCAAGCCATTGGGTATTTTTACACACTAAAACAACTTTGAGAAGTGTAATTAAATGATGCTCAGCTCCTTTGTGGATATTCAATTAGGACAGTAGGACTTATTTCAGCAAGATTAATTACATTAGTACTGGAGTAGCATTAATTTTTTTCAAGTGCTAAAATTAATGATGGCTTCAGAACTCAGGAGATTCACTGCAGAGCAGCAATAATGCAACTAAAAATTCCCTGTCTCACCAAACCAAACACATCTCAAGAACAGGATATGAAAAATAATCAGTACTGCAGCAGCTACACATACAAGAGCTTTCACATACAGTGAAACCTTCCCCATATGCAGAACTTTGAGGTTTTCTGACAACTGAGAGACAAAATTCTTTAGGGAATACCAATTGAAAGCCATCCAGCAGCTGATGTGTATACACTTACACAACAAAAATTCCACATATTTACCATTAAAACTGCTCCATCCAAACAAAAACCAAACCTAAACTTGATGTTTAGTGCTGCCTTGGGTCAAAGAAACAAAATATTTCAGGAAAACAACAAAACAGAGGAAGCTCAAGATCTATAATCTCTAGACATCAGAAAGTCAAATTCTACAGAAGAAAACCCATTCCTGTAAGGAACTTTTGTGTTGGTTTTAAAGCAGCCAAACCAATGAAAGCTTGAATAAAATCAAGCCTTTTTATCCAAGTGAGAGCCCACAGGATGGATTCTGGCCGTGGGTAATCCAACACCCAATTTTTGCACGTCCATATTCAAACAAAACCTGCTCACAAAGTGCCCCCGGTGTTCTGCACACACCTGTCACGGTTTGACACTGGCACAATGCCAGCGCCCCATGAAAATGCAACCTATCAATTGAACGCTGTGAAATGAAATTGAGAACAGAGCAAAGCAGGCCAAACTTAATAACAAAGGAAAAACTTTATTACACTACTACTACTATAAAAGAAAAAAGGAGGAAAAAAAAAACCCACACGAAATTCAAAATGAAAACCTTCCAAAACATTCCTCCTCCCACCACTCAACTCCAACAAACCACAGTGAGACACATTTGGACCCTTAATCAAGTCTTCACCCTTCAATATAATCAATATTGTCCATCGGGGAAGAGAGGAGTCCCCCTTGCACCACAGACCCCCAGGAAACACAGCTGCCACCTCTTGTGTTTCCATGTCACACATGGCACTGCCCAGACCCACCGGCCAGTGCGACACTCTCCTCTCCATGTCCAAGTGCTCTCACCACCGTGCATGGACAGAGACTGCTTATAGGGCCCCTTTAAGGATGCTCTGCCAAGGACCACCAGGAACAACAGTCCAGTATCGCAATTTGGGACTAGAGTCCCCCCCATTTTCCCCTGGTGCCGAGGGTCCAAAGACAGAGATCGCCTTCTCTTCCTCTCTGAAGATGGAGGGCATCCTCACACCCTCCTCAGCTCTCTCTCTGTCCATTCCTGAACTGGTAGTTGCTGCAGAAGGTCTCTTGGCTCACCAGTGCATCCCCTTAAAATGCAGTCCCTCTTGAAAGAAAGAGTGGTTCAGTCTATGGTAAACAAGCAGAGTCCAGCCAAAGGCCACTCTATCATCTCCCCCCAACCTTCTTCTCTGAACATCTGAGGTCCCAGGCTGTCTCTCTTGCCTTCAAATTGAGGAGGAGTAATATTTCACAAAGCCTTCATTTCACAGGAAAGGGTTAAAATTCCCAGACTCCCCGGATGGCTGAAATCTCAGCCCAGGACTCATCTCCTGTGCTGGGCATCTTCCCCCCCTTCTCCTTCTCCTCCAGGTGTCTGCTGGCTCTCTATCTCTTTCCCTCTAGCTTAGGGGGGAAACACTGGCTTTTCCCCTCCGAGGTCTGCACCCTCCGCTGACCAGAACCAGAGAGAGCGAGTTCTCCTGGGAATTCCGCCTTTAACCCCTCTGTGTTCTCAGAGGTGTGCCCACCTTCAATTGGTCACCCCAAGTGTCACTATCCAAACCCGACCCCTGACTGGATTGACCTCTTCCTTCCAAAAAAAAATTCTTTTTCTGTGTCAAACCACGACAACACCTCAAGAGATCAAAACCCAAATTCCAAGGCCTTGCCATTCTCATTTATAACATTACACTCCTTTTTCACATCTCAACACCCTTTATTTCCAACAGTAGCTTTCCAATAATATATGAGCCACTAAACATCTCATATTGTGGTCTTTTAATCTAATAAAAAACAAATTACAGCAGCACCATTTGTACTAGAAAGCGAATGTACTGAAAAGATACACATCTGGCTAATTTTGTAAGGCAGGAGGGAAAAATAGAGAAAATTACACTGAAATAGCATTTACATAGAAAAAAGATTCTTAGCTGTCAAAACATGAGATAATTTGTGAGATGACAAAGTTTATTGCAAAAAGCTTAGTGACAATGTATTTTAGGACAAACTAAGATTCAAATGTTTATATCACCTCTGTGAAAAACAAATTTTCCCTGTCAGTCTCAATTTAAAAAAAAATCTTATATAGGAAAATAAAAGTAAATATAAAAGTATCCTCCTATTTATACTCCATCAGAACTCACTATGTTGTTTTTCTTCATCAAACAAGTCAAACACATTAGTCTTGGTACAAACATTCTCACCGTAACTCTGCTCTCCAAAAGCATTAGCACACAGTAAAAACTACTGTTTAAAGATTAATTTTATTTTTCAAATCACAGGTTAATTAGAATCAGACACATTCATACAAATTCTGAAGGTCAGACTGGTTTATGTTCTCCCTCAAGCCTAATTATTACCATCAAGATTTCCCAGGTCCTCAGAGATGGCTTCATATTAATTTTGAGCTGTAAATTGTTGCTGCAGAGGTCAAGAGCAGCACTGAAGCAAAGAGCAGAGAAAAGGGAAGTTTCTTTCAGGAAGTTCTGACCACACCACGTGAAACCTGCACTGAGGGGCTGAAACACTTTGTGCAGCAGTTCCTTTGTGCCTTACAGAACGCTGTCACCAAAACCCTGCCCTCAGCATTAACTGCAGGAACACAGTAATGCTTCAGGTCCTGAAAAAAAGAACAATTCAGAACCCTACAAACTTCACCACCACCCACGGGTGCTCCTGTGGATAGCAGTACTTGCATGAAGAAATTCAGGGAGACTCATGCTTTGGACCTAAAAGGCCACAGGAATTTATGAACTATTTTACAGGAGCTGCAGAAAACAGGAGTGGGCCTCCAAGCTTCTTTAGTTCTACTTTACAGGATCCACACTGCCCATTTTTCCACTTGTTTCTATCCCACACCCCAAGTGTGTAAGACTGTAACAACCAAGAGCACAAACACTCAAATGTGGTACTCTGCACCGCATTTTCCCTTCCCTTAAGTCCTATTCCCAATTAATGATGCAGTTCAAATGAGATTCTGCTTTTGGTCCCACACTTCTGCAGAACAGCAAAAATATTTCCAATCACACACATTCCCTGTCCCCCATCTGCTGCTACACACAGCACTCAGCCCAAATGGAGGTTTGTTTTTCCTTTCACCCTGCCTAAGGCTGACTGAAGGCAGAAGCAGGAATCGTTTCCTAGCTGGAAATTTGGATTGCCAGTCTCCAGTGGGGCAGGCAGGAAAAGCCTTGCCTGGCACTGCCAAGCCTGCTTAAAGGGAGATGGGCTTCATCTCCTCCCCTGAGCCATCCCTCCCTGCCAGAACCTGTGATTCAGGGAGGAAAGAGGCTCCCAGAGATTCCATGGAGTCTCCTGAGACAGACAGAGCCTTTTAGGAATCACAGAATCCCAGAATAATGAGGTTGGAAGAGACTCTAAGATCATCAAGTCCAACTTATGCCCGAACACCACAACCAGACTATAGCACCAAGTGCCAAGTCCAGACTTTTTTAAAACATATCCAGAGATGGTGATTCCACCACCTCCCTAGGAAGCCAATTCCAGTATTTTATTATTCTTTCAGTGAAAATTTTTTTCCTAATATCCAACCTAGCTGAGGAGCAGCACAAAGCACCGAGAGAAACACAGGAAAGTGCTCAGGGATCTATCTGTAGGACCTGGCAGCAGCTCTGCCAGCACATTGATGGGAGCTGGAGCAGAGCCCACACTGAGATAATTGGGAATTCTGGCCCATCCCAGGAATTCTCCCCGTCCTGGGGAGGGCTGCTCCTACCCCAGT